TTATATATATATATATATATATATATATATATATATTTTTTTTTTAAAATAGGTTTAAAATTAATTACACTATAAGCTAAATTCTATTAATTGGTATTTTTTTTATTTAACATTTTTTTGTAAGAATTATTTTTCTTTATATCATTAATAATTATGAACGAAATACAAGTTGTAATTAATTCAATATTTCTTCTCACAAAGAATTTAACAAAAAATGTATGTGTTAAATATATTGTAACGTTCTCAAATATTTTTCATTTAATTATCGTGAGAACAAGCTTAATTAGAATGCTACAATTGTGATTAAAAAGTTATTTTACGCTGGCATTATCAATTTGACAATAATTTCTTAATTAATGCAGGCGAAGAATTCTTTAACAGTTATGTTATGATGCATTCTTCACCGTGACCTAGTCTTATTAAATTATATTATTGTATATCATGTTTCATATCAATTTAATTAATGTCATTTCTTCGAATTTTTCATAAAAATTTTGCTATTTTAGTTATGTTAAATAAACTTAACTATGAACTTAACTATATCAAAATAATTATATTAATAATTAGTTTATACTTACAAATTGTATGATAATATTATTACATTTGTTAATTTTTGTAAAATTACAAAAATTAAAATTGATATTTCATTATAATTAAAATAATATATTATAATTATTATAATTAAATTTTATATTTTAAAAAAACATTCTTCTCAACTATAAAATTATAATGAAATCAATGTATAAAATGAAAATAAAGCAACAAGAGAATTAAATATTTCATAAATATCTCAAAATATAATGAAGAAAGAAAAATTATTTAAATTATTATAAAATAAAAACTTAGTTTATTAAAATATAATATATTATATAATATAATATAATATATTATTTGTTTTTCTTTTTTATTTTGTAAAAAAAATTAGTTTTATTTAATTTCTCAACAAAAAAGATTTCATAGTTTGAAAAAATATTCGGACAATATTCGAAATTTAAATTTTAAATTACATAATAATATTTGAATTATTTTAAAAATTAAAAAATTAAATTATCGATGAAATTATGGATATCTGGATATGGATATGGATATATTAATTATTATCCAAGAAAGAAAAATGTTTCGCAAATACTTGCCTTTTCATTCAGTTTTATAAAAGCAAAATTTTATAAAAGCAAATTATCATCAATGAAAGCTAAGAATGAATAGCGGAGGTATATACAAAAAAAAATAAATATATTAAAATGAGTAATATATTTTCTCACGATATATTTTTATTATTAATTATTATCATATTATTTTTTTTAATTTTTTTTCAGCACAAAATGTTATTCTTTTTTAGTATTTTTTTTTACAAGCTTTACATTTTTGTATACTTTATTATTAAATAATATTTTTAGAAATATTATAATTTACAGACAAAAATTCATGAAATTTAAATAATGAAATTCATATAAACAAAAATATTTTATTTGTTTACACAAACATTGTGCAAACTTTTTTTTGCACAAACATTAAAACGATTTTTACTTATTAAATTATTCTTTTTTGTAGACTATCGAGAAAAATGCGAAAATAGAATTACACATTTCTTTCATTATTGAAACTATATAGGAAAAAAATTTTTATATATAAATTAGATAATATTCTTACAATTGTTAACTATGTTCATATAGTTTTAGTCAATATTCAGACATTTTGTTACCTTATAACTGTCAGCTTGTACAAACAAATTGTAATTTGCTACTATACTACTGTTATATAAATCACAAATACTTTTTTTCAAAATATAATATAGTAATTAAAAAAATATATTTATATAACAATAAAAAAATGAAAAATAATTTAAGTTTTTAGTTTTGAAATTTGTAGATATAACGCTTTAAAATGTTATTTTAATCATTGTAAAAAATTTATTCTTTGCAGAAAAATGAATATTTTGAAAGTCTTTTAGAAAATTGTGTCTGAAAGATACTGATCTTCAAAAAGTGGAGTTTCCAAAAACAATTATATTTGCTTTTTTTCTTATTTACAAGAAAATTATATAAATTATTAATTTAATATTATATTCAATATTCAATTTTAACAAAAAAAATTTGATTATTTAGAACAATTAAGTGAAAAGTATGTAAAAAAAAATAACAATATTCTGATCTTATCAGACTGGAAAACTCACATTTGTCACGAAGTAAAATCACAAAGCCAAAAAGCTTAATTTACTCTGGATTGGGTTGGTTTCCATGTAGTTGTGTAAATATTTCCAAAACAATGAAAGAAATACGCTTTCTTTTTCTCACTAATGTCACTTTTATATGGTGGAGAGACCTTGATAAAGATTCTCCCGGTTAGAAAAATCTTTTTATGAATTCTACAGCTGTTCACGATACCGGAGTGCAGCAGAAGGATAAAACAGAAAGAGAGAATAGAGACAAGATTGGAATGGGAATGGAATCTGGATGGTGGCGCGCATGCGTCGACCCCGTTCATTCACTCCTTCAAATCATTCATAAATCGCGGAATCCTACGCTTGTGATCTCCACACTTCTCGCAGTTAATGATAACGCATATTGTGAGTTTGCTGTGTGAAATACTGCAAAATTATATCACAACTTCGTAATTTTTTCAAATGGAAAAATCAATAAACTTGGTGTTATATTTTAGATGATAATTATAGATGAGTTTTTGGACTTCTTTCCTTTAAGACTGAAATATGAAAGATAAAATATTATTATAATTGTTATTAGGAAAATAATTAAAAAGGAAATATTTAATTAATTTAATTTATATTAAATTTTAGTATAACGGATAAAGATTAAGAATGTATAAAAAAAGAAAATACAAATAAAAAAATATATATAAAAATATAATATTTATTAATTTTAATAAATATACTCACAAGATAATAACTGGATTATTACTAGAAATTTGTTGCATAATTAATATTTGCATACAATGAATGGAGCAATTGTCTATTATTAAGATATAAAATTTGATTACTTTATGATCATGTTGATGAAAAATGATGCAAACATATCTGAATATTCGAATTCATTAATGAAAAATCAGAATGCTTTCATACTTGCAATATAACTAGGATGAGACGTCGTCTTCGATTCAGATATAATTGACGCGTCGACTGCACACGCGCTCAGTTAGATACAGTGGGGATAAAGGAAGTGAGGATATACCGGATTCGAGACTGATGGAAAGTAGGAACAGAATCAAGCTGGCCACGCATGTGTAAATGCATTGCTAAAAATAGTTATTCTTGTTTTATAAATATATACTTTCAAAAGCTATAAAAATATTAATTTATTATAATAAAACATGATTTGCCTTTATGAAATAATTTTCTAATCCTAAAGATTGATAACCTCAAAATCATTTGCTTTTGGAATATTCTTTAAATAACTTTAAATTATATATAAATTTGCGTTAGAATATATAATAATTGTTACTCACGTATTTCTTTGAACATACATTCGTACGTAGAATGTATTATTTCTTTTTTCCAAAGAATCGTTTAATACGGAAAAATTGAGTTTTATTTTGAATGCGATTATAAATCGAAGAAGCTTGAAATTAGATCAGACCCATTACTAATCGAATGCTGTACATCGGTGGTGTATTCATAGCAGGGGGAAGATGGTGCGCATAACCGAGAAACAGTGCGTTAGTGGGGATACCTAAATTCATGTGGAAGGGAGACGGCGCACGCACACCTATGTGGGCACGGAATTCGGAAGAGCGGCAACTTCAGTGGCATTCGTTTGCGAACCGCGACACGGTGTGGCTCGCGGTTATTTCGTATACGTATTCGGTTCTAATTTCAACCCTTCGGTTTCGCAGTGTTTCAATCTTTAACATAGCACGAATCAAGTGATTTTTAACACGCAATTAATCACTGTTGCCTTACAAAATAGAAGTTCTTTGATAAATCATTAAAAAAGGAAGAAAATATACTAACAAATTTCTTCAAAATTTTTGTGCCTAAATTATCAATTGTGATCGTGAAGGTCAATCTATAATAGGTTTATAATTAAAGTAAATAAATTTATAAGAAGAAACAGAGTATCAAACAGTATTTCATCACGTTCCTTCTCAGCAAAACTCGTGGAAAGTACTGTACGCTTCGGTTCACGGTACACTATTCAGAGGGACGGAACAAGAGAGAAGGAATAAGGGAGAAAGAAAGAAAAAAGTCACTTTATCGAAGAAAGCTCAAAGCTCGAGCTTTTACATTCTCATCTTTTCGTTGACGTATTCTAATTCATTTTAACTAATATTTTTTTTTTCTAAAATGCATTGTTTTATCGATAATTAATACAAATATGATTTATACATGTCAGTAATTCAATGAACATTGCGCGGATGATTTTGTTTGATCGATGCATCGCGTTTGATCTTGGCAGATCTCGATAATCGAAAGTGAATGAATTCAAGTGGTGGCGCATTAGATTGAACTTTAAGGAAAACTAAACATTTTAAACATGAAGCTCAAAGGAACACTTATGTTGTTAATTGTTGCTAATGCAGTCTACAGTCAAAGTAAGTACATATTATTAATTTTTATTTTTAAATATATTTCAAATATAATTTCTGTACATATAAATTTAAATTGTTATGCGTAACGTAAGTAATTAAAATGTTTTGCGAATTTATAAATTTTAATTATTAAATAGAAATAATTTTAAGGAAACGATTACTTTATGATTTATAATGTTCGAATGAATCGTTTCCATTAATTTTTTCAATGTAAATATACAAATGATTGATTCATCACCGGGCTACTCTTTCGTTTCAATTTTACGATATAACCGTCTTTCTGGTCATTGATCAAACAGATTTTATTCATAGTATAATGTTGTCGTATTTTAAAATAGCTTAAGATTGTTTTCTAATGAGTCAACATACTGTTCTCAGTAGCATTATAATTGTTTTCGAATGAATTACGTAATATCGAATTTTTAAAAGATTTTCCTATGAATCCCATTCATTCATGTTTATATCTTGAATTACATGCTAGTATCCAGTTTATTTCAATGGAATTCGAACATCATGTCTCAGGTGTATTGATTTGATCCTTACTCATTTTGAAGATTAGCCCATTTTCATAAAGTTTAATTTAAAATTACAATCCTTTAACAAAGTTATAATTTATATTATTTTTTCTCAATTTTACCATTTCTTCTTTAATTTTTTATAGCAGATTTGATTGATGATTATAATTTTTAATATTTAATGAGAGATATACGACTGTTAATTAATATAAACAGATAACAATATTATAACAATGATAAGATAGAATACCATAATAATAATCACACAAAATAGTATTTGAAAGCGAACAATATAATTGGAAAATTTAAGTTATATTTATATACAAATGTACACGAATATAAACAGACGATAAAACGTGCTCGATAAGCCTCTGGTTGAGATTCTTTAAACAAACCTGATCGAAAAGAAACTCAATCCTAAGCAGGTTAAAATATTTGCTCTATTCTTCTTTTTTTTTGCTTGTCGATTCAATCTTTCGAATAGTCCATTTACCTGAACCGAGCCCCTTTGAAATGCGAAAGAATTTCATTGAGTTCCTACGGATGATCCACAATGAGCCTTAAAATCTCGTATCCGTGTCTTTCATTTAGAATGTTTCTTTATAAGACTCAATGGTTTAAATTTTTTTAGCGTTCTTCTTTAACAGATCATCCCTTAAGGCGTAAATTTTCTTCAAACAAATTCCTTCACGATAAATTAAAATATCTTTAATATAAAATTTTAAAATAGTTTTAAAATTTGAAAATAAACACGGAGAAAAATTCTTCTTCATTTTTTCGAACAATCTTATTTCATAAAGGATTCAAAGTTTGATGGTTTTCATTCAAAAAATTGAGAATATTAGATCTTTCCATCTTTTCATTAACCATCAAATCCCTGAACGGAAACGTACATTTCATCTGTATCAAAGGATATCCAAAGAGAATTTCTTCTCAAAGAGGTAATTACTATCTTCCGGAACATCGTCTTCTCTCGTAGATCCTCTCATTTTTTTCCCCGTGATTCACTAGCAGAAGAACAAGTCTCTTTCTGTGGTACGCTTCGAGATTAGAGGATACCGAAACAAGGCACGTTGCGGTCGCTCTTGGAATAAGAAATATTTTTTCTTACTCTTCTAATGGTCTTCGGTCGGTCCCTTTTTTATCCAGTCGTGGAAAGGTGTAAAGTGGACCGAAGTAGAAAGATGAAATCCGTTTTATTTTGTTCCATGGCGAATCGAATGATGGATAAATGAAAAAAAGAATTGATATAATTTTCTTCAAGAATTTTTTAATGTTACTATATTGACAATATCTCGTTTTAGCAAAAAAAATAATTTAATTTCAAATAATGACGAGATCTGATTAAAAGATTAATTGAAAGATACGATTAGAATTTTTGCAATTTTTTTATTTTTTTTTTCTTTTATATTAACTATTTTTAGAAAAATTGTTTAATGCTAATAATAGAAAAAATAAAATCTAATAAAATACAATATTGCGTGTTAATGGATTAAATTGAATTTGAAAAGTCAATAAAATCTCGTGTATAAATAAAATCTTAATTAAAGTCAAGTGAAATGTTATACAAAGAATTAACATACCTTTATGTTCATCGATTAGATTGTATTCATTAATCACAATCGTCAAATGCATCGTAACATGAAAGAAAAGGAAAGAAAAGGACATATAATTCTTGCCATAGTTCCCATCGTTTTCGAACGATCCTATTTACCTGTATAACAGAGATAGGATAGGGGAAGTCATCCATCATCGCTTTGGTGACAGCGGTGCTATCAAAATCTTTGCGATATATGTACTTATATACTTGATGTATTTTCCCTTGTAGTTGAGAACAATGCTTACATGCGTAGGCGTAGATCCATTAGGAATCATGGCAAAAGAGCGATATTACCACAATGAATTCGTGTATGAATTCATCGAAAAGCTCGTTTTTGAAATAAACGAAAATCATTAAATTATAAGAAATCGGATTTTTCAAATAAAATTTCTTTTCGAGTGTTAATTTTTTTTTTTTTTTTTTTAAGAAAAGAAATTTTCTTTTTCTCTTTTCTTTCTCAGGAAAAGTTTATCTTTCTTTAACAAATGTTTTATTTTTTTATTACTTTTGAAACATTTTTTTTCTATCTCGATAACGAACGATTATTATTATCATTATATCTACTCGGCTTTCTCGATTCATCTCGATGGTGAAAGTGGTGTCGACGATAACGATCTACTTGTTGTTTCGAGGGTAGCATGCCCCAAAGGGCAGATGCACCATGAGCTTGTTCTCGGATCGATTGTCCGTGGACGTGATTTTGATACGTTCAAAGTTGTTGAAAATTTCTTTCAAAGAAAATTCAATTTCCCACAATTTATTTATTTATATTTTCCATTCGCTTGCTTGTGAAATGAAATTCTCAAAATTGTCATCAAAACAATTCTTGATTTATATATTTTAATAATATCTTGGTTAAAACAATTTATCAAAAATATTCCAATTTTTCAAAATAAATTTTTCACTTGCATCCTCAACTCGCGTGATCTCACAAGCGACGAAAAGAACGCTAGACGATCTTGAACTCTTGAACCATACTGTACCAATCAATTGATCGTGTCGATTATGCTCGTGCGCACGTGGCGTGGGCCGATGTTTTATGAAACACGGTTGGTCAGGGTTCGAAAATTGTGCAGAGTCCTGTCGTAATTCATAAGAAACGTTAAATTTAGGAACATCGTGGGAGGCCGGATTATGATCCCCCTTCGAAGATCCGCGCACCCTAAGTATTCTTTTCGCGGAGGGTCCCAGATCGTATCACGAATCTCTCTCAGACAGATGGTCCTTGAAATCCTTAAGGATATGTACTTATCAAAGGATATGGGAGGTCTCCTATTATTCAAAGAATAATACTTTATTATACCATTATCGTTAATTTATTACGATATTACAATTTTAAAAGAAAGTATATTTTATTCGAAAAATTTGATAAAAGACTCAGAGATTAGAAAAACAACAAGATGATTCTTTTATTATTATACGGTATTGCAAACATTTATTTTCAGATCCTATATTATAAAATTTAATCTTGCCGTTTCGATTTTTACATCTTGATCTCGTTCTTATTTTTACACAAGGGGATAATTTATATTCTTCTTAAATTGAAGATATATTTTAATATTGTGAAAAACAAAAAATTGGATTGAAAATTCCTTAAAGATACTCTGAATACTTTTTTCTCTGAAAAAATAGTGAAGGTATTTTACAATAGGGAAACATTGTAGGTGATTGCCCGAGGGATAATATTCGAGGCGAGATTGTCTGCGAACTATCGAAGTATAATATTGCACGGTGTGTAGGCAGAATATAATTGAT